AGCACCTGAAAAGTAAACGAGTCAATGTACTGTACTATGTTATTGCAGTAAAATCAAGGTTTTTCAGTTTGACTTCACAGTTTAGCTGTAGCATCCAGTCTATCAGAGATGAGAGAAGGAACTGAGACAGAAAATCTAATGAATATTAATTTGAAATGGCACAAACAGTTTTCAGTGGTCCAGGCACTTTCAAGTAGCTCTCGATTAACTTAAAGTTCTTTAGACTCATTGGCCTTTGCTATGTTGATATGAGTGGCTTTATCCTGTGTGTGTGGTTAAAAATAAGTGCTGAGGTAAAGGGAAAAATGATGAATTACTCACATAATCAGCAGCTGTGGAGGAGTTGCTGGTAAATTGCATTTCTAAGTCACTGGACATGGAAAAAAAGTTCTTTCGGCTTCTGAACTGCCTTTCTGTCATTTTCATACACTCAAGTATTTTTTCTTTCTAGATAACAAGAAGTGCTCTGTGGGCCAACACAAACTTGTATAGTAGAAAAGTACATGCATAAGATTGTCATGAATAACTGGTAGTTGTACAGGTCTGTTTTACCAATAACTTAACTAACAAGCACTGATGTAATAGGTTGACTCATATTGTAGTAAATCAGGCTGTTTTTTCTGTTTTATTCTTTTCCATAGTAGTCTCAGGACAAAGTGTGTCTACTTTGCTGGGTCTTTTTCCTCTTTTACTCCCCATATTCCATGGAGTTCCACAGGGTTCCAAATTAGGACCACTGTTCTTCTCCATATAAATAATTTGTATGATAATTATCAAATGCTGTCTTCAGACGCCACAGTTATTTGTTCCCTTTTAATTGTAGACACCTTTACATTCCTACCTTTGAAGTTGTTCAGTCCCATTTAAACCAAGTTAATGTTAAATACAATCAACTCAAAATTGCTGCTTTTTAAAAACAGACAACACATAGCTTCTCTTTGTTTTGTTTTGTTTTGTCTTTTACAGCAAAGCACCACATCAAAGTATTGTATTCTCAGCATCCATCTAAGGATGAAGAACTGAGTGAAAGAAACTGCAATCATGGGCAAGTAGATTAATTCAGTGTGGAATTTACCGAAATCAGGATGTAATCTTTGAGGTCGGTAAGAAGTAGAGGTTGGTGGAGTTTGTTTAAAAGATAGCAGGTAAATGTAAATATTGTATGAGAGCAATGCATACATTATATGGAAAATATGCATTGCATAAGTTCATCTATTTGCGCTGTTGCAAGCATAATGTTAAGGCCATATTTTAATCATGCAGAAATTATCTTTAATCTTCAGAAGCTGCAGATATTTTTTTAAATATATTTTTTAAAAATCATTATGAGAATATTTTATCAAGGACAAACCAGAACATTGATATTCCAAAGTTTTTTTGTTTATTTGTTTGTTTTATTCCCCTCCTCAATCGAGGAGTGTGGTTATTTACGATTAAACCGCTTTCAGGCTGCCATTGAGGCCTCTAAATGGCAGAGCAACTGTAAGCACCTTGAAGCAACTGCTGTTGTGATTTTGTGCTATATAAATAAAACTCAGTTG